CAGGCAAGAATACTGGAGTGTATAGCCATTCTCTTCTACAGGGGATCTTCCTGACCCAGGGATCGAACCAGGTCTCCTGCATTGCAGGTGGATTCTTTACCATCTGTGCCACCAGTGATTCAATCCTTGAGAGTCAGCTGAACTCTGGGTGCTCTGGACAACTGCAAGCCTCGGTAAGCAGCCTGAGGTATGGCCTCATCCCTTAAAGACTAGTAGAAACCATTTATGGAAAAAGATAAATAGGGCTACTGTTAAAATTCTTCCCACCTGAGTTATAGTAATGCAATCTTCAAGTAATCAAATGAAAACTAATTCAGGGGTAACTAAAGAGCAACCACAGATAAAATATATTTCTATGAATGAATTATTAACCTTCATTGGAGATACAGTCCAGCTCATCACAATGCTCTGCCGAAACTAGAGCAGAAGGTACTAAAATCCTCTGGCTGTCAGGAGAGAAGTTCACTGTGTCCAAGAGAAGCCAGACATTAACATGGCTTTCACTTAAAGTACACTCTGGTGGAACCCCCGTATTTAGTAGCTACTGGTGTCCATGAATATAAAGATCTACCTTTGGCAATGTTCTTCATAAATTGGCATTTTGATCTCCTGTGTCCTTCCTCCCATTTTTCCTCACTCATTGTCTCTCCCTTGCTTCCAGAGGAGTAGAATCTTTTACTTCCCTTCAAAACACACTATTACAAAAGGTGCTGCTGGAAAAAAAAAAGGGTCGGGGGCAGTGCGGGGCATTCCCTGGCTGTCCAGTAGTTAAGACTCTGCACTTTCACTTCTACGGACTCGGGTTTGATCCCTGGTTAGGAATCTAAGATCCTGCATGCCACGCAGTCAAAAAAAAAAAAGGTATTGCAGAAGAATATAGGACTACACGCTGGCTCAGCACCCAAACTAGCCACCTTGGCTGTCCTGTGCCACTTCGGCCTGGCCTCTCATTTCCTGTCTCTTACCTCTCTATCACAAAACAAAAGGAAGAAAGATGAACCTCTGTTCCCTTCACATCACACCTCCTTCTTTTCCCAGCGCCTCTCCTCATCTCTTCTTGGTTAAGGTGGCTCAGACAGTAAAGAATCCGCCTGCAATGCAGGAGACCTGGGTTTGATTCCCGGGTTGGGAAGATCCCCTAAAAAAAGGAAAAGCTACCCACTCCAGTATTGTGGCCTGGAGAATGCCATGGACTATCCATGGGGTTGCAAAGAGTCAGACACGATTGAGCAACTTTCACAAGGGTCAAAAGGACTAAAGTTCAAGTCCTGAATTAACCACGTGCTAGCTGTGAAACTTTGGGGGAAGATGTTTAAACACTCTAAGCCCATTTCCTGTCCCTAAAACGGCAAAAAGAGAAACGGGGCTGCAGCAAGTGCTGAGCCCGGCTCTCAGCACCCAGGGTAACTGTCAGAGGCTGCAGGCCCTGTGACTGCTTCTCCGGTGCTCTTCGGAGGACTCAGAATGCAGGGCAGCTCCTCAGCGGGCTGGGCTCTGACTGCCTTCTTCCGGTGGTTAGCAAGGCTGCACCACCGCTGGCAGGCAGAACTTTCACATGGGAAATCTGACGTTGCAAGGACAAGGTTTTTACATGTTTTTTCTCTGTGCTTCACTGCAAGGGACTCAAAGTAGGTACATAAATCTCCTTTTATCAGTCTTAGAGAGCTGAACACTAAAAGACAAGCTGCAACTCCTAAATTGTCTTACTAATCAGACTATGCAAACATCAACCTAACAACTGATTCTTGGTTCTTTGAAAAATCACTAAAATCTAAATATAAATAACACTCAGGTAGGACTTCTAATCTCATCTATGACAGGGGTAAGCTTCGTTTCAAATAAACTCAGGAGCCCTGTCCTGAATGGTATGTGTGGGAAAGGGAGGGTCTCTTCCAACAGCGGGAAAAGGGACTGGCCCAGTCTCCAGTGCCCTGCAGGAACTCCCAGATCCAAGCTTTAAATAAATCTGCAGCCAAAACTCAAATGCAGAATTAGCTCCAGTAACAAAGGAGATTTATTCTAATGACATACTTTACTGTCAGAAAGTTGACTACCACAGGCAGAAATAGCCCAGAAAGCAGAGAGGAGTTTCCAACAACGTCAGTCCACTCCTTGCTTGTTTCCAACTTCAAATGGACTGTGGTCCTCTGGCCCTCTTAGCAGGAAACATTCCCACCCCTCCCCTGATGACTCTGCCCCAGGTGCTGATGACTCTTTACTACCTGCTGCTGGGATTCGTACTAGAAGGATGATCTTTCCATTGTGTGCATAAGCCATAATCTGCCTTCAGAAAAAGACACGTGACCAGACAGGCAGGCATTAAAAAGTCTAACAGTGCCAAGTCAAGGACACAAAGCAACCAGGACTCTGACCCACAGTTGGTAGAAGTATAAGTGGGCAGAACCACTTTGGAAAACAGTGCGCATTATTACCTAGTGAAGATGAAGATGTAAATACCCCATGGCACAGTAATTAAATTCCTAGATATATGACCAGCACTGTCCAACTTACCAAGGACCTACAGTGTCCCTTCACAGTGCTGAGAACTAGAGATCAAAAATGGGGTAAAACCTGGAAACTGAGAATTTTGTGATGGAAATGTTAGGTATCTGTCCTGTCCAATATGGGAGCCACTAGCCATATGTGACTACTGAGCACCTGAAATGTGGCTAATGGTGAGCTGAAACTTTAATTTCATTTAATTTTAATAATTTTAATATAAGTAGTCACATATGGCTAGTGGCTATCCTAATATATAATGCAACAAGAAACTCATAATATATGTCCCAAGATATATGCACAAGAATGCTCAATTCAGCATTGTTTGAAATACATAGAACAGAGACAACCCAGAAGTCCACTTATAAGAAAATGGATAAGCTGAAGCAAATGCATAGGATGGAATACTGCACATCAGTGAAAAAGAAATTAATTTCCTCTATAAGCATCAGTTCTGCTACATCTTAAAAAATGGTGCTGAGCCCAGGTTGGATGCATGAGACAAGTGCTCAGGGCTGGTGCACTGGGAAGACCCAGAGGGATGGGATGGAGAGGAAGACTGGAGGGGGGATCAGGATGGGGAACACATGTAAATCCATGGCTGATTCATGTCAATGAATGGCAAAAACCACTACAATATTGTAAAATAATTAGCCTCCAACTAATAAAAACAAATGAAAAAAAAAAAAAGAAATACAAAAACAAACAAAAAAACGGTGCTGAGGCAGGGAAAAAGTCACAAGAGAATTTGGAATGCAGAATGCGATGCATTTTTACAAGATCCAAACACAAGTGTAACAAGTATTTGAAGAAAAACATTAGTGGTGCTAAAGTTAAAAAAAAATTTAAAAAACAGTCAATATTAATACAAAGACCAAGCGAGATTTTTGTATTAATATATGTAGCAATGGAGGGTACTATCTGGAAGGAGCATAGAGGGAGCTTCAGTGACATGGCTGATGTTCTGTTTCTGCCCTTTTATTGTTGTTTGCAGCACATGTATTACACTTATTGCTTTATGCTTTCAGATACGTCACAATATAATAAGAAGAAAAGTACTATTAAGGTAGGATCACTGCTTCCTGCATCTCACCCACCAATTCCCCATCCATGTGCAGACTGAGAGCTACTCCATGAAGGGAACCAGGTTTTACTAATCTGTGCATCTCCAGTACCCAGCATAACAAAGGAGCACGGTAGATGCTACTTACGTGCCTAGAGAACAGAACCCAAATCTGAGAAAACCAGAATTCTCACAATCTAAAGTTGCTAGCTTTTGTCTGCCAGGTAATATAAGATATACATTCCCTAAGATGTAACCAAAAAAATGTATTTCCTCCACTCTAAATGTGCTTTCCCTTACAGATCTGAAAGCAGAATGCCTTTTACAATCCAAGCTGTCTTTAAAAAGTGGTGTTTCTCAATGCTAAAGCTGAGGAATGGAAGCTCCATTAAGGAAGGACTGAGTCTCCGCTCATTTCTCTACCCCTAGAAGCTAGAATAGTGTTTGGCACACAGGAAGAGCTTAATAAGTAGCTGCTGAATAAAGAAAAAGCAATAGTCACCACTACTGCAAGCCTACTATGTGTCTGAGTCTGTGCTAAAAACTTCCCACAGATTATTTAATTTATCTTTTACAATAACCTCAACACTTAGCAAGGTTAAGTCACTTGCCCAGGAACATACAGATAAGTACTAGCTATGGTAAATAAGTACTAGCTGCGGTGGCAGCTTACTTAAAGTGGCAAGACAGGATTCAAATATCATCTCCCAGACTCCAAAGCCCATGCTCTTATTAAACACGATGCTATATCACCACTCAAATAAAACAAAGTCGAGCTATCTTCCTTCTCTGATTTTAAAAACAAATGTTAAAAGAAGATGTTGCATACAGTAAGTGAGTTCATATTAGCTGATGGTGATGTTTACAGACAACTTGAATTAGAACTTGTGTCAGCCAGAGGTAGAAGGGATGAGCGAGGCCATCTCAACAGTTAGCCAGGCTTCTCTCCATGTCCACCCAACCTCATAATAAAATTAGTTCACTTACTGGCTCATACACAAACACACGCCTGTGACACCAGCAAGTACTATTTCTAAATGTTGTAAATGTCTAAAGGGAACAGTTATCCCATCAAAGGGATCATCTTATTATAGAGCACTTAAAAGTCCATTTGATCCAACCTCTAGGCAAGAGACTGACATTTTTAACCTCATTTTAATGGCAGCTGAAGTTAACTTCGGTCCTCTGAGAAGTAACTGGTTGAAGCTGAGACCAGAAACTAGGTCTCCTACTTCCTGGGCTCACCTTGTTCTCTTCTCTCGATCACAGCGGAAGAAGCCAGTAAGGATTTGTTAAGGTCCCTCTCTAGGCAGCTATATTTAATCTAAGTCCTTTACGTAGATTATCCTCTTTAATCCTCTTACCCGTTCTGGGAGTTAGATATTATCCCCAAGTACAAGATGAGGAAACTGAGGTTCAGAGAAATAAAGTAACTTACCACAGGTAACACACTTGGCATCAGTTACTTAAGCCAGATTGGTTCCACCTCGCCCTGCAGATCTGCAAAGTAAAGAAAAAAACAATGAACATCAATATATTAACAGAATGCTCAAAGTGCTTTCAAGTTACTGAAAACAAAAGGAAATGTAAACTTCTGAAAAGAAAATATCTTTAAATTATGCAAGCTTGAATAGGCCCCAAATATTTTAACTCAGGACCGGAGTCTGGTTAAATGCTAATAATATAACCACTAACCAACTATGAAGATGTTACCTCTAAAAGGGAACTTACAGTTAACTGGACTGTTAGCTCAGTTGGTTAGAGCATGATGCTAAAAGTGAACCTAGAGACCTAGACAGCACCTTTAAAACTTCCTAGCATTTCTAAGTAGATGTAAAAGTAAAAATAGTTATTTTAAAATCTCCCATTTAGGTTAAAAAAGATAATTTTTGAAAAAAATTCAATTTTTTCCTCCATTTTTCCATGTACCACACATATTATAGCATATTTTGCCACAACTGTTTTGTAAGCCTTCCTTATTTTTCCTTCCTTCTCATCACCACATCCTCTTTCATGCAAAACAAGATAGTCAGGACTGAGAGGCACCTTAGTCTCTCAAAAAAAAAAAAAAAGTGCTGTATGATTTTAAGATACTGTAATCATAACTTTATTTCTACATAATGTAAGAAACTGCCATGAAATTTGAAGAATATTACTTTTACTTCTGAAACGGAAACAAAACTATCTTGTATCTCTAATAGCGGTGCAACTCTCATTATGTAGAGGGAAAAAAGCTTTAATTACAGGATCTTAAGAAATTTAAATTTGTTACTCAGCATGAAATGCTATAACCAGTGGCTCCAACCACACCATTTGGAATGTTCTGAAATCTCTATTTCTTTTTTCAAAAATAAAATCCCAACTATTTACTGAAAAAGTAAAACTGCCTGCTAACCGTTTCTTTCTTTCATGCCAGAGGAGTTCTGTCAAAGAGGTTTCTAGTCTTCCTCTTTGATTCCTGCATCCTTTCTCCAGAAGGTTCCTAGCCTCCATGCGGTCAGACAATGATGTGTAATTTTTCTATTTTGCTTTAAAAGGGGGTTAAATATATTACTCCCCTTTTCTAACATACAATACCGTCCCCCCCGCCCCCCGCGTAAAAGAAAGTAGGAAAAGAGACAGCTTCACAGTAATCTCCTGCTAAAACAAGATAGCATCTCTCTTCAGTCACTGCATTTTAAAAGGGTGTTAATTCTCATTTTATTTCGCTTTTCTTTCTCCTCAGTCTGGAGTTTAAAAAGCAGCCCACTTGATGTTATCAAATCATCAGATGAAAGGTTCTAGAAATAGCTTCCTATTTGTGGAAAGAGTCAGGAGACACAAAAATGGAAGGGAGCACTTGAATCGTCTTTCCTAAAGCATTTCGTGCGTAATGAATGCAAGCAAAATCCTGGAAGGCTTAGCTCTGAATTTAAGATACTTCCAAATGGGGCTGACTTAAAAGCTAAAGTAAAGTGCAATCAGAAAACAACCAGAAACACAAACACCAGAAGCAAAGTTCAAATACACATTTTCCCGGTGCCACGGAGCATACCCCGAAACAAACCACAGTTGCTTTTAGGTGAGGGCTCTAAGGCAGCTGCGGGTCGGTCCGTTTCAGGTTACACGTGCCCTTCTCCGTCAGTTATCCCGGTGTGCCCACTCCACACGTTCACAAATGACTCAAAGTGCCACCTGCCCCCGACCGTCCCAGTTCCTGACACCCCCGCGACCGTCCGCGCACTTACGTGTCCGCGCGCGCGCGCACACACACACACACACATACACACGTGCCCACACACAACCTCGCCCCAGCTCCGCCCAGGAGGCGGGCTCCGACCAGGCGAACCCGTCCGGTCTCAGCGAAGTGGGTGGTGCCGGGAACCGCGGCCGCCGAGCCCCCAGACCAAACTCCTCGCGGCAGCCGGAGTCCCTCAAAACGCAGAGGCCTCGGAGGCTCCCATTTCGCGGGGAAGCTTCCGGGCCCTTCACCGCAACGGTGTCACCCGAGCCCCGGAATTTAAATAGGGGCAGGCGAGGAGGAAGGGGAGGATCCTCTTTTAGACTTTCTGCGTCGCAATTCCTCCCAGTTTGCAGGCGGCATAGTCGGGGCTGGGGGCGCTCCCGTCTTTAAACCGGCTTCCGGCCTCTCCGGGCGCTTGGGCTCTTCAGGTCAGAAGGAGAGCTCCGAGAACGCCTGGAAGGCTAGACGAGGCGGAGGGGCGCCCGGCCCGGAGCAGTCCCGCCGCCCGTGTCCCGCAAGCACTGAAGGCGCCGCGCCCCGACCTCCCCACGCGCCCGGCTCCGGGTCGCCGCGGAAAGCGCCCCGCAGCCGCAGCCGCCCCTCCCGGAGCCAAGCGCTGACAGCTGAGCCGCGCCGAACGCGGCGGGCGCGCGGCTGCAGCTCCGCGGTGCCCTCCTTCCTAGAACCCCAGCCCCCGCCCCGCGCACCTCGGCGGCAGCCGAACCGCCGCTCGGGATTCCGGCTGTGACAGCTCCACCGACCCGGCTCAGGGTTTCTCCGATTTCGGCGTCACAATAATAAGGAAGTTTCCCCGCAAGCCTGAGGGTGGCGGAATGCGCTGGGTAAAGGACGGCCCGACCGGCCAATGGGCTTCCTTCTGGGGCGGACCTGCACCAATGGTGGCCGCGGCGGAGCCGGAGGCGGGACGGCGAGATCCGCGGGCTGGAGGCCGGCAGAGGCCCAGGCCCTGGAGGGAGGCGGGGGCCGCCCACGGTGACAAGACCACCGCGGCTCGGCGAGGAAACAGCGGCGTCGGTTTGTGTCGGCGAAGATCCGACTGCAAGATACAGAGCATTAGCGCTGGAACTGGATTGCTTTTCACTGGCGGGGAAGAAAGGACACTAATCAGCGGTTGGTTTTTCAGGTTCTGGGCTCTGAGTCTTATTATTTGTGCAGAGATGGTCAAAAGCCTTGGGCATAGGGGAAAAAGCTAGAGCTGACAATTGAGGGTGCGTTGTTAAGCATCGTATTCCATCCACGATGGAGGAGTCTTGTTTCACTCGCCTTCGGAGGACTGGAGGAAGCGCCAAGCAGAAAGCCGGGCTGCGCATGGGACAGGCGGAAAGAAGGTCGGCGCTTTCCTGGGAACCTCGCAGAGAGTTGGGGTGGAAGAGAAAAGCGGCGCAGCACCAGCAGAAACGGGAGCTTGGGGAAGACTAGGGGGGTTGCTGAGAAGCATGAAAAGAAATCAGTGAGCGGGAGATCTGAGAGACACTAAGTGGCCTAAAACCCAGTAATAGAGAAGTTTGTCCTCCCCTACTTTCCCTGGCGCTGAATCTCAGAGCTTCCGTCTCCTCCCCAAGGTCACAGTGCTTTCCGAGTTACCCTGATCCTTGTCTGATCCACAGATAATCTTGTGAAGAAAACATTCTCACAAAAGTGACTTCATGAGTCTACCGCAGCACCTCCCATACCCCTAAATTTGCAACACAGAACAGAAATACTGGGAAAGTACTGTTTTAACTCAAAGGAATGACTTAACTCGTGTAAGAATTTCTGTAACCTGCCATTTGAACTGGGAAGGTCCTGTGAGGCCAGATTCTTCCCAAGGACATTCAAATCAGGTCAGGTCTGCAGTTTTCTTTGAGAATTAACTAGATTGACCAAGCAGAAAAGAAGTTTTGGGGAGTAATACATCCTGGGGATGGGCACTGTTGGCTGGCATATAGGCTGTCACTGACACATGCACATTGTCATACGCTCCTGTGACAAGACAAGAAAGCAAGATCGCAGTTACCAGGTAGCTAACTGTCATCTATGAAAATGATTCCCACCTTTGAAGTCTGAATCACACTGGACACCTTTAGAAACACCGGGGACAAGATTAACACAATTCCCTTATGCTCTAGAGATGTGGCAGTTTTACAAAAGTCCAGGTCTCTTACAAAGACGTAATCCCAATTCAGAGATGGTATCACCAAAAAGAATTGGAGGAATGGCAAAAAAGAAATCACTGTGGGAAGGAGGTTTCTCCATGGTCAAGAAAGAAAGAATAAGAGTCTATTTTCATGTCCCGTATATGAGGTTTGTAGTCAGTTAGCATTTAGGTCAATATCTCTGGCTCATGGTTTTTCATATGAAATTTTATCTTGAAAAAAAAGTTGGTTACCTGAGACTCAAGTATGGAGTTGAGATAGGAGTCAGAATTACAAACTGAGGTACTCTAAAGGTCCTTACCAAATAAACATCCAGAACCCTGGGAACTTACTCTTATAGAATAATCAGTGATGGTACACACTCCACTTCAATTTCTTAACTGAACCAACGTAAAATTGCAGTTTCCTCAATAAGCATGTCCTGCTCCATTTACCAAAATGGCTTTAAATGACCCCAGCAACAATAGTCCTAATAGCAGATATTTAAACTGGCTTGAAGAGGTACATGATTTACTTTTTCTTTCTATTTCTGTAGCTCTCTCTTCCATCCATTTTTTTCTGACTTCCACATGTTCTGTACCAGATACACTCTACACTGAGCATCAAAACAGAACAGTCCCAGTAGCCTTGGAGGGTGAGGCAAACATTAACCACATAGCCATAATAACTAGACAGTCACTAATCATGAGAAATTTTCCAAAAGAAAAACATTCATGTCAAAAATGTTTAACCCCAATAAGAACTGTAAACAGAATTGAGTTCCAGTTAATGCTATGGATGCTGAAGTATTTAGGAGGAAATATCTGATGTTGGCAACTTATTCTGAAAATGTTTTTATTTTAAAAGACAGACTGACAGATGAATGGATAGATATGTGATAAATCATGTACAGCAAAAATGTTAAGTATAGATTAACATGGTAGGTAGATGGGTGTTCACCATGCATTACTGCCAACTTTTTTGTGTGTTTCAGTTCAGTTCAGTCATTCAGTCGTGTCCAACTCTTTGCGGCCCCATGAACCACAGAATGCCAGGCCTCCCTGTCCATCACCAACTCCTGGAATCCACCCAAACCCATGTCCATTGAGTCAGTGATGCCATCCAACCATCTCATCCTCTGTCGTCCCCTTCTCCTCCTGCCCTCAATCTTCCCCAGCATCAGGGTCTTTTCAAATGAGTCAGCCCTTCGCATCAGATGGCCAAAGTATTGTAGTTTCAGCTTCAACATCAGTCCGACCAGTGAACACCCAGGACTGATCTCCTTTAGGATGGACTGGTTGGATCTCCTTGCAGTCCAAGGGACTCTCAAGAGTCTTGTTCAAAAGCATCAATTCTTCGGCGCTCAGCTTTCTTTATAGTCCAACTCTCACATTTGGAAAGTTTATATTAAAAATTGTTGTAAGTGAAGTGAAAGTTGCTCAGTCATGTCTGAGTCTTTGTGACCCCATGGACTATACAGTCCATGGAATCTCCAGGCCAGAATACTGGAGTGAGTAGCCTTTCCCTTCTCCAAGGGATCTTCCCAACCCAGGGATCGAACCCAGGTCTCCCGCATTGCAGGCAAATTCTTTACCAGTTGAGTCACAAGGGAAGCCCCCCAAAATTGTTGGAACACCAAAAATAAATAAACAAACAAATAAATAGTGGGATAAAGTCTAAAATAACCTTTGACAGGCAGAAGGGATCACGTGGTCCAACCGAAGCACTGAGCATCACATAAGGAATCTCCAATGGCAAGGGCCGATTCCCAAACCTGCTGCACCTCTAGGTGAACAGACATCGATTTGTTCCATTCTTCACAACTTCTTGAATGCATATGCCTATTTTTGCATTGAAAGAAATTTTAGTGCAGTAGGAATACTGTTTAATAATTATTGTTCTCTGTGTTTACTTACACTGCAGACAACTTTCACTTGGTAAAATTTTGACAGAGACAAACTTCTGGTAAGTTGGATTAAACACGTGGGGAAATGGGGAGTTTCCTGGCAGTCCAGTGGTTAGGACTGGGCAGCTTTCACTGTGGTGACCCAGGTTCTATCCCTGGTCAGGAAACAAAGATCCCACAAGCTGCACTATGTGGCCAAAACAAAAAAAAATGTGGGGAAAAAAATCAGGCCAGCCAAAACATTCTGTCCTACAGGCATATTTTTGAGGAACAGGTGTCTCCATCTCTAGGAAGGGAGAGCAATGATTATTGAGCAGGTAATGGGTATGCACCCTGTAAAAGTACACAATCACAACAGTGTTTCTTGGTACCACAGAGCCCCCAACAAATTACACATCTTGTCAGTCAAGTCAATACTCAACAGAAAAATCGGTTGTAAAACAGTTCTCATATTTTTTTTTGGTTGTTTAATAGAGGTTATCAAAGAGGCCTATGTATTCCCAGGATGGTTGTCTGCGGAGCCCTTACAAATAGCTGAGAAAAGAAGAGGAGCAAAAGGCAAGGGAGAAAAGGAAAGATATACCCATTTGAATGCAGAGTTTAAAAGAATAGCAAGGAGAGAGAAGAAAGCCTTCCTCAGTGATCAGTGCCAAGAAATAGGGGAAAACAATAGCATGGGAAAGACTAGAGATCTCTTAAAGAAAATTAGAGATACCAAGGGAACATTTCATACAAAAATAGGCGCAATAAAGGATAGAAATGGTATGGACCTAACAGAAGCAGAAGATATTAAGAAGAGGTGGCAAGTACACACAGAAGAACTATGCAGAAAAAGATCTTTATGACCCAGATAACCACAATGGTGTGATCACTTACCTAGAGCCAGACATCCTGGAATGCAAAGTCAAGTG